ATATTAATATTGGGGCACAACTCAGGTAATACGCAAAAAATAATAACGCGAAAGACCTAGTTTTTAAGTTTTTACATCTGCCTACTATGCATCCAGAGTTTTACTTTTGATACACGTTGTATGTATTTTATTTACTTTTCAGAAATATTTAATTAATAMAAAATTACGTTAGGTTAGGYTAGATTGTATTCAAACGATTAATATAACATATAAATGTATAAATAGAAATTCGTTTTCAGACTTTGGCACCCAAGTGCCCTAACCTATCTCATAGTTCCCTTAATGCGTTCACAATAAAATGTTCCTTGTGGTTTTCGCAATTTTATTAAAAATTTATATTGGACACAATCTGCGTCAAGTTCTATCGAATTTACGATTTATAACGTGTTTAACCTATCATCATTGTTATACCATATATTTTTATAATAATMTATCATTGTAAATTTATAACTCACATTCCTATACCTGTGTATACATTGTTGAACATTTGAAATCSCCTGTCAGGAAATTTCATTCAATCGATGCATCGAAAACCTCTTAAAGTGTTGTTTGTGTTTCAAATAAGTATTTTTATAGCGTTCTAGCGTAATKTTCAAGGTAACTTATCAATTRAAGTAATCGTAATGTATCTACTTACTTAATCTATAAGCGTTTTGATGAGCATTATATTTTGATGTTATAGTTGTCACCGTTGTCGAAGCCGACTGACGTGGAATATCCTATCATTTTACTTTGTGTCGTCTATCTAAAATCACCGCATCCACTTATTGCAGTAGTTTTTGAGAGATGATGACGTTTCATAATGTCCCGGGTGTAACCAAATACTTTATAGGCACACCCGCCTATACCGGATGCAATTTTGAAAAGCCGTGTTAATTTTTGTGTACGTCTTAACAATAATAATATCTTAATATTACTGCCCACATTCCTGTATTTAATCCGTTTTAAATTATCTCGACGAACTGTTTAACATGTTACCCCCTTTACCCCATTTCACAAGGGCGATTGTAAACTCTCCTGATGGTCC